AAAGCACTCTGCTGAAGAAACTCATCAAAGAACATGACAATGTGTTTGGCTTCAGTGTCTCCCGTAAGTGTGGCAGGCAGTTAACTTCAACCATAAAAAGAATAACTCATGTTTCAGGCAGTAATTGTATTAGGATTTCAGGATTTTTATCTGTATTAAAATTAAAGTGCATCACGAGTTGTATGTAGCCGATTGTCTTTAATTAAGTCAATCGTCTTCTTGGTTGGTATTCTGTGTCTTTCTTTCGATATAGGCTTGGTATCAAAATTAGGTACTGAACAAAAATTTTTTGAAGCATTTCAGGAGAATTTAAAGGTTAGAACTGGTCACAATTGATTCTAAGTGCCCATTCTTAATCTTAACTTATCAATGTGTGTTATTCTATTATATATCTGTTTCTAATTATGTGGTAGTACTGTGTTCTGTTATACCATAGCAACATTTAAAACTTCTTTTTATGTTTTTGTTTTGTTTACGATGGGCTTAACTCTTCTAATTTGCTCGACAACTGATATGATGCATATAAAACTCTGAGACCTAAATAAATGCATAAGTTACAGAATCTTCTGTAATTGTTGATAAACTGCTTGCTTAAAGCTCTGGAGAATGTAACGCCCGAGTCATTTTGTCTCCTAGATACAACAAGAAACCCTCGCCCTGGAGAAGAGAACGGCAGAGGTAAAACATATCTCGTATTCTCTTTTAAAAAGAGCTTTCCAACCACTGTCTAGTTTCTTCTAAACTTATTCCCTCTACACTTAAATCGTTGGTTTATAGATTACCATTATGTTACACGGGAGAAGATGCAGGCAGCCATAGACAACGGCGAGTTTATCGAAAACGCAGAGTTTTCTGGAAACCTGTACGGCACAAGCAAAGCTGCTGTCCAAGCTGTTCAGGCCAAAAACCTCATCTGTATACTGGACATCGACATGCAGGGTGTGAAGAACATTAAGAAGACAGACCTCAACCCTATTTACATCTCCATCCAGCCGCCATCCATGGACATCCTAGTGAGCACAACTGAAATCCATGCAACCAGTTTAGCTCTGTGAGTTTTCCTACAAATAACCTGCTTGTTGGAATTAACAGGAGAAACGACTAAGAGACAGAAAAACTGAGTCGGAGGAGAGCCTGCAGAAGCGTTTAAATGCAGCCAGGGTGGAGATGGAGTTCAGTAAGGAGTTCTCCATGATTCTAAAAGCACTAAAATAAAAATCCAACAAGCATGTTTAAAGGCTAAAGCTTCTTTTTTGATCTCTCCAATTTAGGTAAAGAACCTGGCATGTTTGATGTCGTTATCGTCAATGACAATTTAGACGATGCTTATGGAAGGTTAAAACAGACTCTTCTTGAGGTGAGTTACCTTTGCAGCCCTCGTTTTCAAACATTAAAAAAGTTAAAGATAAGTTAAGAGCTGCTGTATGATGCTGATTCTAGACACTAGAGGCAGATGAGGCTACACAGGTAAAAAAAAAGATCAAAGCATGTGTTTGCAAATTAGAAGACATCTAATAGTGTTAATGGGTTCCACTTACTTCAGCTCACATATGGGCATGTAGAAACAAGTAGAGGCTCACTGATAACTGCAGAACAAGCATAGATAATTATTAAAGGGAACTGATGAAAAAATAGGCATCGTGTTACTAGCTTACCCAGTCGAAGACTTTACTCACCTTTTCTTTCTAAAATAGCTCAAACTCTTTCAGACTGGATGGAGAATATCTGTAGATATCAAAGTCTTGCTTCAGATTCTTGATTGGATTTAGGTCTGGACTTTGACTAGGCCATTCTAAAACTTGGATATACGTTCTCCCATTGTATTTTAAGGGTTGTTGTACTGCTGAAATGTTAAGAGTGAGTCTATAGGTTAAACTGACAGATATAAACTTTGGAATTTTCAATCACAATTCAGGGTTTCCTTCAAACTCTTGATAAATTGGCCAGCATTTGGAACTTCAGTATTTTACTTTATTTATCATGTCTGATTAAGTATCAGCAGAAAAAAAAATAAGAATGAAAAGTTTTCATTACATAGATTAAACCTTCTAGTTTCTGCCTTGTTTTTGTTTTTACATAGTTTTATATTTCAGTTGATGATCATTGGTTTTGGTCTTGCAGATAGCAATTTTAGTCCAACTCCATCATTTTTGAGTGACTGAACGACTTAATGATATAAAGGAAATAAAAAAGAGGCATCTCACATTTTCACACATGGAGCATTTTGCCTCTAGATCCTCTTATCTGTGGATTTTAAACTGACCTGAAGGCTATTGAACCAAGTTTTTGTCCATCATTAAAATGTTTATATTTTCAAACTTAAGTTAAGGCAGTGCTAATTACAAAGAAAATTCAGAATATCCAAGTTCAGAACTTTCTGTTTGTTTTGTTTTTTTCTGAATGGTCTGGAAAGGTTTGAAATTTGGAGATTAAGATATTGCAGGAACCCTGCAGGGCATGGATGTTTGTTTTTATAATGATACAGGCTTGTTGTTCTCTCTGTAGGAAATTAACAAGGTCAATAAAGCCAAGACATCATAGAAGACGGCACAGCACGGCGCCTCATCCATCCACTCCCCATGAAAGCCAAGACCACTACTACTACAAAGTACATTCCCTCAGATTATGGTCTGTTAAACTCAGACAGCATAAATTAGTGAATCTACAAACATGTATTTAGATGGAGTTGGTCAACTAGTGTATTTTTGTTTTATTTTTAATAGCCATTTATTTTTTATTCTTTATGTTTAAAGAGAATATACTCCAATGAATTTTACTTGAAATGTGACTTGCACCTTGTGGAGAAGGATTTTCATCAGACAGAGTGAATGTCTGCCCTCTTGATCACTCACCATGCCAGAGTAGCAGCAAACGGGGAGCGGCAGGATGCATTCCATCATGTGGACTAACTGGTCTGTGATGTGGACTGCTTTGGTGGGCTTTTCAAATTCTTTTCCATCTCTGGTTGTTTACTTTCAGGGGGTACATGCAAGTCAGCCATCCTTAATGAAACATTACATTTATTCCAGACTTGGTAAAGCTTTTTATATTATGTTTTTTTTCCTATGTATATGTTAACAGAATATCTCAGTTTTATTTGGATTACGTTGCACTCGAGTGAGTGAAGTCCAATTTTTTCTTAATTACTTTATCACTGTCATTCATTTTCGTTTTTATGTTATTGGGGGTGGGGTATTTGGCTATTTTAAAATTGTAGTTTTATAAAACATTTATATTATTGTGTAACTTGCTCATATTGTAGCTTTACATGTATTGTGAAATGACATTCAGAGGACTTAAAAAGATCTGCAGGACAAAATAATGTTTAGAGTTGTATATGTTCCCTCAAACAAAAAGCACAGCAAATCTATTTTTACATATGTAATTAAGGAAATCTATGGTGTGTTTGTAAATTGGTTTCCCAGCCACACCTTAAACGGTGAAGCTATAAGTCGCACCTTGTAAAATCCATTCATTTACCATGAGTTATATATTCCTGATATTGTTGTTTATTAAAGCAATAGGTCCTCTGAAATAGCATGTTACATGTTTAAAACTTCAATTAAAATGTTACAAAGGTCCTTATTTGTGTAGTCTGTTGTGTATGACTGTGACTGATAACTAATAAAAATGGACAATACCATTTCACAACATAAGGTACAGTAAATATAAGTATCTATGATGAGGGTTAAAGTTTGCAGTCAATGAAAACAAAGCTGGGTTTGTATTAACATGTTTCACAAGATCCATTAAAAAATATCTTAGGAAATATGTTATAAGGGTAGCAATGAGGTATACTGACTGGACAGGTGTCCTTTGAAATCTTCCATCGGTTACTTATGGTGCTGTAGGCAATAGGATGATTGCAGCTTGGGAGAGCTACAGCTGAAGTCTGGTGTTTTTTTTTTTTTTTTATCTTTATGTTCAGGACTGGCTTAAAATAAGGAATAAAACAGTTGAACACATGTCCTGCATACACCTGTGTGTTGTGAGGCATAAAGCACTGCCTCTGTTTTGTGAATTACAACCTGTGTAAAACCTCTGCTTCACATTTCTTTCGAAGTACCCCTGTTTGCGCACCCTTTTTAAACTACATTTTTTTCTGTGCTGAGATTTTCTCTTAATCATTCTGAATACAGCCACCTTCTTTTCAATTTACCCATTTGTTAAAACCTCCTTTTCGAGACTAACGCTGTCAGCTCGACTACTGTGTACTCGTCATCCTCCTTTAATCCAGGATTGGGTCGATGGGGCAGCAGTTTCAGCAGAGACTGGGGAAAGCCGAGGCGCTCCCATGTCAGCTGAGAGGCATAGTCCCTCCAGTCCTGGGTCGTCCCTCGGGCCTCCTCCCGTTTGGATGTGCCTTCGCAGATCATGGGGCATCCGACAAAGATGCCAGAGCCACCATAGCTGACTCTCGGTGTGGAGGAGAAGCAGCTCTTCTCCTATCCTTTCCTGGATGTTTTAGAGAGACCCCAGCCACACAGAGGAGAAAGCTAATTTCAGCCTCTTGTATCTCGTTCTTTTGGTCACGATTCATGACCATAGGTGAGTGTAGGCCAACCCGTAGATTGAGAGCTTTGCCTTTTCCCTCCGCTCCCTCTTCACCCATACAGACCTGTGCAGCGTCTGCATTATAGCGGCACAGAACCGCCTATAAATCTGCTCCATTCTTCCCTCACTCATAAACCTTTTGACTTACTAGTTCCGCAGTGATTGCTTTGATCACAACATAGTTATAATACCAGAAGATAACTGTAAAAAAGGTATTTTATTAGTTTTATATATAAAATCTTAGAATAAAGACTATAGCAATAATTATCAGGAATGTATCCCTAAAGTATTGATCCATCCCTATAATTATTCTACTAAATGTTTGAATTTCAATTCCTAAAATGAATATCTGAAATACTATTTCCTGACATGCATAATTCACTCAGTTTAACCCAAACCCATAGCTATTTCTAAAGGAATAATAGAAGAAGCAGGTTATTTTGGGAGTTTTCTGTACATTTATTTAACACTGTGCTCAACCTAATTTTCCTCTCGAAAACTACACATGAACATTTCAAACAATAATCCGTCGGAGCCATAATATAACAGCATACATAGTCCATACCAATTACATGGTACCTTATACCAACACAAGCACTGCAACATTTGTAAAGAACGTAGTAAAGTCCTTGAATTTAACATTTTCACTTACATACAAGATGATTCTGTTGAACACATTTGCTGTAGAAAGCAAATACATGCAGTCACTCGTGTAAATATGTCACTGACACACAAAACTCCCCTGTGAGTTTGCATGCAACTGCAAATCATTAAAAAGGCAGGAAAAGGGCTAAGAAGCGTGGTAAAACGAGAGCTAATGCTAGAGTATGGGGGGACTTATGGTTCAGGTAAAGTGTACTTGTAGTGCAAAACAGGTTGTAGTGCACTCCAGTGTTACTACTGCTTACCAAGGAATCATTCATACATCAAGGCAAAAGTTTCTAGAATTTAATGGCACACCACTGGTTTAACCTAACAGTAATACAGAAAGCCAAAGTCTATGCCATGTTATACATACTTTCTCCTTCAAAAATTCAAGAAAGTTTCTGCAAGAAAAAAAGAGCTGTGATAGTCATTTTACTGCTTGGATAAGTTCCTTTTGCAGAGATGATGATTTTCATGGTGGCACATCTATGAAAACGACCATCAAACTGATGAACGACAAAAGGTTTCTTCATAGAGCTCTGTCCACTTTATTCATGCTGCATGTCACACATCACAAAAAATACAGACAGAGCTGAAACCTGCTTACAGTGACATGTTTATCTCTACAGTTTACAGTTTCCACATTCCCTAGCCTATAGAAAACGCTGAATCCCACAAAAACAACTGAGGATCAGACTATTTTCTGACTGGCTGCTTCAATATGGAATGGTTGCTTTTTTTTATGTAGCAGATATATTTTTTTAGATTATTTTAATAATGTAAGTAGAAATGAATCCATTTAAGACTAATGATTTGTGTTGCGAATTAAAAGTTGTTTATTGGTTTTGAAAGGGTTTCTCTTTAATTTGGAGAGTGACAGGCTTTCCGACTGATGTGTAACCGTAGGTTTGGGTGGACACCTTAGTTTTAAAGCTCTGCTGCCCGCCCTCCACTCTCTGTACCTCAGTGCAGTAAGAGGGCTGCACCTCCAGCTTGGCGTGGCTCACTTGGATTGGGACTTGTCTCTCCATCCTGGTTCGAGCCCCGCTGGTTTGTGGGGAGACAGATGGAAAAAGACCGCTTGATAGATGCTCCCTGAAGCGGCCGAAGAGGCCCCTTCTCTGCCTTGGAAAAACTTCCGGCCGCCCCACATGGAGAAGCACCGGCTGTCCTACTTGGGACCCCCCGATCTCCCTCTGGAGGACAGAGACCTCACAAGGCTTCTCGTCAGAGACGCGTAAGCTGTCGGAGGAGCCGTAGGTTTCTCCCTCTCCTGGGATGTAATCCTCCAAGTCCTCCAGATTTATAATACGATCCCCTTGTTTCAGATCCACTGGTTCATTCCTCTTACTGTCCTCATCATCCGGTTCAAAGATAACAGTTTGTTGATCATCCAGGTCATCGATATCTTCAGCAAGCGTTGCGATGTTTGGCAGTTCATATGGTTCTCTCGATGCAGAGCCAGAGGCAGTCTGAGGCTCCTCTTCCTCCCAGGAGACGGTCTGGCTGCTGATCTCGTCTTTAAGATGTTCCTGTTTCTGTTCCACCAGCTTGTTGTTTGAGTTGTTAACGTTCAGGTTGTCCAGAGGAGACCTCTTGGGACGGGAGGGGGTTGCTGCACGATCTGAGCCTGCAGGTGAGATCCCTCTTCTTCTGGACAGTCTGGGAGACTTATTGACCTTATACTCAATGACTTCCTCCACTTCAACCCACCTGGGCTTGCTTTCTGCTGCCCTGGCTCCAGCCCCCTCGGGCTCAGTGACATAGAGGGTTGGGATGGTGGTCTTTCTCTGGGTCGGCATCCTTCTTGGCCTGGTTGCAGGTAGTTCAGGGGTGGAAGTTTCTGAACGGTGGGCTCCAGTGACACTCAAGCCTGGAGATCTGTGTCTCCTCATGCGTGGGTTTTTCACAACAGTGGTAATCGTCTCCTCGCTGTGATAAATAAATGAAAGCATTAGAAGAGGTACTACAAAACTTTGCAAAAAACACACTGATGATTGGAACTAAAAGGCTTTAAATAGCTACTCCATCTTCAAGATAAGAATTCAGGCATTTGTATGAAAGCAGTCAAACTCACGTTTGATACAGTTTATTGCTGAGAGAACATGTCTAGTTCAGTTTTTCTATTTGTTTTCTGTCATAGAACAAAATACAATCAAGACAAAACTCACCATCCTAAAAACAAGCTTCTGTGCCCATATGTAGCTCTTGATTTCACAAGGCAAAAGCAACTAATCTGCCCTTTTTTTGCTTATTTGCATTTTTTTCTTCTTCCCTCCTTCAGAGGTAGTTTCTTACATTTTGTACAGCTGCAGCATAATGTTAAAGCCTTATTTTAGAGCATTGCAAGGACATATTTTGATAAGAGGAAGAACATGAAGTTATCTTGTCATCTACCTAAACTAGATTTTCCAAATAATGTTTAATAATGCTGTCTGCTCAGGTTAATTTATGTGTCTGTTGCAATGTCATCAACCTAAATATACACAGCTGAATCAGCAAGGGAATTTTATTTCTGTTTTTTTTTTCAAATGTGGTAATCTAAATACTGTATAAAAATATATGCTTTCAATATTTTCCATGAGACAAATACATACGACTCTATAATAGATTAAGTTGCTGTGTAAATAAGACCTAAATGTTTACCTGCCCTTTTATTTAGTTGCACAAGTCATACTAAGCAGCAGGGTTCCCAGCTTAAAGGAACAAACTAGCACCTCCTTTTCTCATCTCCATGATAAAATCATTTAGTGCACAGACTTTAAATACTACACAATCTATAGAAAGGCATACACACAGAAAAAATCTCTATTTTAGTCTTAAAAAGAAAACACTCTACAGCTGAATAAAACTTTAGCTCTCAAACAAAAACATCATTTTTATTAAGAAGATAATAAAACTAACTTTCTTAGAGGACAACTGTGTATTCTGAAGCCCCATCTTGTGGCTCTTCAGCAACTTCACAGGAACTCCCAATAACCAACATAAATGCTATAGAAACTAGACATGGTTTATATATAGAAGAGCTAGATTATTTACAGACATTTCCCAACGAAATGTTACTGATTTTACAAATAATAATTTTCTTAATCTGATTTTGCATCACAAATAAACTATATCTTTTTCACTTTTCTAAGTGATGAGTTGCTTTTTTTTTTGCAGCCCCTGAACAACTTTGATTAGTAAAAGAGAGAAAAAAATTTTTTCTCTGTAAACTCCTCTATGTAACAAAATGCACAGAGGGAAAAAATGTTCCTGATCACACTTACATGATGATGGTCTTCTTCGGTAGTTTAGTCTCCTGTTCGGTAACTAAAAAAAAAAAAAACATCAATAACTGAGTGAGCACCGCCTAAAGTAGTTGCTATGTAGTTGAAATGTTGAAAAGAATAAATAATAGGCTCTGCCTAAACTCATTTAAAGTAGTAAAAAGCAAAGTGATGATGAAAAGGCAGGCAGAGAAACCGTACCTTCAATGGTGATGCCCTGTTCCCCAGTACGGGCCACAGCAGAAGGAACTACTAAATCAGCAGCACACTTGGCACTGCCGAGGCGGTTTGACAGCTGGCAATAGAAGGAAAATATATTTAGAGTTCTAAATATGACTTTCTACTGCTTATTGGTATTAGATAGCTTCAAATAAAGTTCTTAGGAGTAGAAATTTAAAAAAATATTACAATCAAATCTGCCCTTAGAGACCCTCAATGAACCCAGCAGACTTAATCAAGAAGTTATTCCAGCAAAACCTTCTCTGGTAAAGGAGGTTTTAAACATGATCTAAATCTTTTCCTTTTGTTGATATTTAAAAGATGAACTCGATAGAAAAAATGTAAATGCACATACCTATTAATAACAAAAACAACTCAAAGTTTTGTCCTTTTTTTTTACACTAAATGTCCAAAAAACAAAACAAAACTATAAACATAAAAACAGCAGGAGAGCTAGTTTACCTCACACTCGTAGTGTCCAAGGTCTCTCTCAGTCAGGTTTTTTATAATCAGAACTAGAACCCCGCTACGGAGTTCACTGTAGGTTTGATACTTCTCCTGGTCAGTCAATAATCGTCCATCTTTGAACCACCTTTAACAAGTACAGAAAGATGACCATGCGAAATGTAGTTAGCCTTGCAGATATTTCACAATTGTGAACATTTTCTCATTTTGTGATGTAAAAAATAAATAAAATCTGAAAAATTGTGGTGTGAAACTGCAGTCCTAGCTAAATTCATAAATGTAGTGCAACCTGTAGCTACCATAAGTCACCTATTTGTGTGTGTAATTTAACAAAAGAAAGTATTTCCTGGCTCAAGTGGAGGAGTTTAAGTATCTAAGGGAAGAATGGAGCAGGAGATTGACGGATCAGTAGGCCTGCTGCTATACTGTGGACGCCGCACTGGTTTGCCGTACTGGTTTGTCGTGATGAAGAAAGAGCTGACCAATAAGGCAAACGAGGCTCTGGATTTACCAGTCTATGTTCCTTCACTCATCTGTATCATGACAGAAAGAACGAGATCCCAGGTACACGTGACTTTAGAGCAGACATCCCCAAAGTCAGTCCTCGAGGGCTGCTGTCCTGCAGGTTTTAGAGGTTTCCCTGCTTTAGCACAGCTGATTCTGATGACAGCAGTTCAGCAAAAGCCTGTTAATCAATTAACAATGTAAATCAGCTGTGCTGGAGCAGAGAAACCTCTAAAACCTGCAGGACGGTGGGCCTTGAGGACCGACTTTGGGGATGCCTGCTGTAGAGCTTTCTCAACGGTGTGGCAGGGCACTTCCCTAGAGGCAGGATGAGGAACTCAATCATCCAGGAGAAGCTCGAAGTAGAGCCGCTTCTCTTCCGCATCAAGAGGAGTCAGCTGTGATGGCAGGGATATTTTTTTCAGATCCCCCCTTGACCCCTCCCTCCAAGCACATCTCATCGGTAAAATGCCCAGGAGATGACCCAGGACATGATGGAGGGACTATGCTTCCCCCAGCAGAGCTGGAGGAGGTATCTGGGAGGAAGGAAGTCTAATAGTGATGCTGCTGATACTGCTGCCTCTGCAACCTGAGGAAGATGACGACTACGAAGTACATCTCTTTAATAAGGCCTCAGATGCTCGTAATAGTGTTTGAAAAGGGTGATTAATGTCATGATAAGTGCATGCCACAGTTTTCAAATCTGTATTTGTAAAAAAAAAAAAAAAAAAACAAGTTAAAAACTGCCCCATCATTGTCGACCACATTAGAATTTGTTGCACACTACAAAACGTCTCGCCTTTCAATGCACACTACAGAAAAACCCAATAAATCATAGTGAAGTTTGGTGTTCTAATCTGACAAAATGGGATAAAATTAAGTGCCAAATGTGATAGCAAGGATTCAAAGTAGTCCTACCTTATTTTGGGGTTGGGGGCACTCTGAATCACACAGGTGAACTGAGCATCTTCTCCAGCAACAAAAAGAGCATTCCTTAATTTATTTACAAAACGAGGAGGCACTGCAAAGAGATAAATAACATGTTTAAGCTGTGGTAACAAAATCAACGACTCATCATTGACAAAAGAAACAGAAAAGTTGTTCAACTTGAAAATAACCTGGAGTTTGCCTCCTCTCTAACTGTACTCTGAGAAACTGCCAAATAACTCATATGAACACGGCCACTGCTGTGGATAATCCACCTTTGTTCTCTGTTTAAATGATCTGAGGTGGAGTTGTTACATGTTGAAGAGATGTGTTCTTACCTTCTCCTATAAAATGCCTTTCTAATTTGGATCGACATACATTTTTAATGACTTTTTGATTTGTGGTTAAAAACTTCCCTGGTAATATGAAGGAACAGGTGACAAATTCTTTGTATACTAGCTTACCTTGAACAGTGATTTTTCCAAGAGTACTTGCATTGCCTGCTGGGCTTGTTGCAAAGCACATGTACTGGCCAGAATCATCTGCTGTCATGTTATCCAGGATCAATGTGCAAGAGCCGTCAGGGTCCTCTATGATGATGTGATGAGGATCTGCCTCTACTACACGGCCATCTAAAACAGGTCAGATAAGCTAGTTTATAAACCAAGTGACTTATTTAGAATAATGTAAAACATTAAGCATGAGGAAATACAATGGAACAAATGTCATACCTTTGTACCAGGTAACTACAGGTTTGGGCACCCCCGTGACTTTGCAAGCAAGTTTAACTGTTTGACCCAGTTCTGCTGTACAGTTTGCCAAAATTTCTTCAAAATCAGGTGGACCTGGAAGAAAATGCATATTTTAACAGTCAACATCTATAGTGGAAGAGAGATTAAAACAAGGTTAATGGGAATCAAAGCAAGTGAAAGGGGGCTCTCACTCCATGCAGGCATAGTGTAGCGCTGCTGCAGTTCCCTGAGGTCTCGCAACCAGGAGTTCTTGATGGTAACCGTTCGGGCCTGTAAAGTGTATTTTCTTACAGTGTCCTCCCGTTCATGCCAGATCTCAAATGCACGGTCGTCTCCTTCCACCGTTTCATTCACATCGATGTTATTCAGCTGCAGTGAGTTAAATAATAAATCAAGATTCATGCTGCGTCTCAAATAAAATGTAAAACACACATAAAATAATTTCTTACCTTCATCATGTTCTTAAAAACATATGCCTGTGTGTCAGTGTTGCTGTCCCTTTTGGGTTTGCAGATGATACAGTAGTTCCTAAAGAGGAAGACGTGACGGTGGTGACCCCTAGAAGATGTTCGAATACCAGGAGCTCCCTCCCACACTTGGAAAGGTCCCTTTAACAAAAGAATAAATAAGAATATAAAAACAATCATACAGAGAAAGTCACCCAAGTGCCTACAATGAGTAATAACCAAAGAAAATATTACCTGTCTGATTGGCTCTCCAAGAACTTCCAGGGTAGCTGGATAGTTCTCAATCAGAGAGACATGGTGGGTATTCTCAGAGCGCTGTGGAAGGGCAGACACCATTGCGTATGCCTCTTCCAGGAGGCAGCAGTTCTGCCCATTTCTTGCCTTGTTTCGAATTAGATCCTGCAGATGAAAGGTAAAAATGTCTGGAAAAGCTGTTGTGACGACATTACCTCACATTAAGAGAGGAATCAAATTTGTTTCCACCAAAACTGTCACCTTAAGGAAGGCCTTGTACTTCTGTATCCTCTCCAGTGGTTGCTGCAGGTAACCATTGATACTTCGAACTGGGGGATCTGCAGGGTTTGCATTTGCTTGCTCTTTCTCAGTATATTCCTTTAAAGGTAAATCATTGATAAGTGAATTTTAATGATCTTCATAATTCTTCACAGATAAAAACTGTGGCATAGTTTTGTACAAAGTAGCTCTGGGTCAATACTCTATACCAGTGATTCCCAACTGGGGGTACGTGTAACACTAGTGGTCCGCGGGTGCATTGCAAGGGGTGCATGAAAATATTCTATTTCTTAGATTGTAAAATAATATAAGGCTTGGATCTGTTTTGCTTTGCGAGGACTCAATTGAAATATTAAACAAGCTTTTATCAACCAAAAATTTAGTTTTTCTTATAAGTTTGAGTTCACCTTCAGCTTTGACACACATCCAAACCAAACAGAGGAACAGATTGGATGTAGAGATCAGCCTGGGATCAGCTGTTTTTCACACTGAGCTATAAGAGCTCATCAAAGCAAGCTCAGGTGTCTTGATCAAAATTAAGTAAAACTAATTAGGTTAGTCTGACTGTAATTTTTATTCTGTATTTTGTTCCCAATTTATCAAGTATAAATGTGATTATTAGAGTTACTCAGATGAGCTCCAGTTTTATAAATACGGGTTTATAATCTGATTTTATTTTATATTTCTAACTTTTTCTTTACTAACTTCCAGGGAACATATTTATCATGTTTTTTTTTTTTT